CAACGGAGGAAATACACAAAGTACCACACATTGCTGTACTTCTATAGTTTTTTTACACAGATGAATTAAAAATGAAAATGTTTTCTTTGTCTTTATAAACCTGCTGAAATCTGTAAACTGGTTTGTTCATTACTACAGAACAAACCTCAGAGTTCAGTGATCCTCTGAGCTGCTCAGGATCAAAACTGCTCTGAAAACACAAACTTTTACTAAGTGGATTTCATAAAGTCATTTACTGAYTACTAACTGGATTATACTGGAACTTAATGGTCTTCTGTCCACACACCTACAGGAAACATCCAGCTTTGGAGCCATGTTGGAATAAAAACACAAAACTTGATGTCTGACAGAAATCACTGCACTYAAACAACTTTATGTCCCAAACCTGTCCAAAAACCTCAAAGTTTATGTGCAGTTTTAAACATGTTCCGGCTGGTTTTACTCACATTTTGTCTCACCCACCATGCTGTGTGTAATCTGAAGACGATGATGCAGATCAGATGTGAGTCTTGTTGAGGAGAATTACTACTTTAAATATTGTCTGTACGGCCAACAGGACACGACTGTTTTCATGTTTTCAGTGAAAACAGWTCAGGATTAAGATGACGTCATCATGTGATCCAGCCTCTGCAGAGCTGCTGCATCAGGTCTTCTTACTGTGCTGCGTGCTTCATTCTGCTGTGTGACACGTCTAACATGCAGCTCCATCAAATGTTTGAAATACTGCAGCAGTTTGATCAGAGCGTCTCAGAGAATCAACACAACTAAAGGGTGACGAACACACAGGAAGTGTGGCTCTGTTGGCACATGAGATTGTTGTCTGACATGGAAACAAACACCAGGAATGACTGAAGCTTTTAAAACAGTGTCAACCAACACAAAACAACCAAATGTAAGAGGTGTTAAAGAAAGTGTAAAGACTTTAGTGTACAGAACATTAACTGGTCTATACAAAACAAAAGATGAGTCATTTGTGTAACATCACTAAACGTCCCCCCGACACTGTTCAGGGCTGCAAGAATCAATTCAGTCAAACTTCACAAAAAACCTCTCAGCATTAAAAATACAATCCAGCCAGTCTTTGTCCTCCATTTGTTTCATTCAGTCCTTCATCAGATCCATTGGACTCTTCAGATACCATGAAGACGTGCTGTTTGTGTGTGT